AAAGGGTTGGGGGGAGAGTCCTGCAGGCCTCTGCGCGCACGGACAGCAGCGCCCTTTCTGACGGCTTCCTTCCTCTCCTCGCTGGCCCGGGCAGCCGCCCCTGGCCTTCCCAGCTCGCGATGCCTTCCTACTCGCTTGCCCTGGAAACGCAGCAGAGCCATCCTGGGCGGGGAGGAGGGCGTTCTGGGCTCCAGAACGTTATCTGGGCTCCAGGCCCGCCATCCGTGGGCACCACAGGTGCTGAGAAGGCCTTGCCCTCCCCCGCTTCTGCCAGCATAGGCAGGTCTGTGCAAAACAGCCTGATCGGTCCCACGGGCTACTTGGCTCCCCCAAAGGCACAAGTGGCCACAGAAGCCAGCCAGAGGCTGGACCCGCTGCTGGAGCCTGGCAGGTGTCCGAGAAGACTTTGCCCTGGGAGCGCCTCTGCGCTGCTGGGTTGTGGTTGACCGGAGACAGGCCCCTCCCCCAGTGTCATCTCAGAGGAGCGGGCGAGGCTTCAGGCTTCTTTCCCAGGAAAAAGGGGGTTGCTGTAGGTGTTGGTTTAGTGCAGTGTGGGGAGCAAGGTGCGACTGGCAGGCTGGGTGAGGCTCTGTTCTAGCAGAGGTTCCAGTCTGGGTACTGCCAGGGAGGAAATGTTGGCTGGGAAGGGCTTGCTCTTGGCAGTCAAGGACATGGCAGGGAATCAGGCTGCATCTCTGCGCCTTAAGCTGGGGGTACCCAGCCATCCTTGGCACCCACGTCCGCTCAGGCCGCCTGAACTGGGTGTCCACCTGCCTCAGCATGCCAGGGCAGTTGAGACTTATCATGTTCAGATGCTTCTTCTGAGAGCTGCTGCACATGCCTCCCCTCCACTGGTGGTCGGGGCCAGCCAGAGGGTGGTGCTAACAGGCGGGCGTTGGGAGTGACGGAGCCCGCCCTTCTGGCCTTACAGAAGTCCTGGGAACAGGCAGGAGGGGGGTCGGTGTATTTAGAGCAGGCGGTTGTGCTTGTGTCCGTGGGAGGCAGGTCACATCAGCCGCTCAGGTGGGAGCGGAGAGAGGCACCCTTACTCTGAGACCGGCTTTCTCTCCCCCAGGCTGGCCTCCCCAAGGAGCATCCTGGCAATTTTTCCTCCCAAGGTGTGCAAGCAAAGGGATTGGGAGCTGGGGAGGCAAACTCCCCCCGGATCCTCTTCCTCTCCCTCACTTTTGCATGGGTGAGAGAGGGGGTCCCTGAAGGGGAAAGGGCTGCCAATCCCTGGGGGGACCTGGCTCGCCTCAGGCCAGCACCGTGGCTCCTGGTTCCAGCCAGGTGGTGCTGGCTTAAGAAGGAACTGTTGTGCCGTCACGCTAGGCTGAACTGAGTCTCCTGCTGGGCCAAGTTTCCTTAAGCAGCGCCCGGAGTCTTGCTGTGCACCAAGCGATGCTTAGGCGTGCCCAGCGGCTGCCTGGGCAAGAAAAGGGTGGCGGCCAGCTGGAGCAGACGTTTCCATTTCAGAGGGTTAGATCTTTTCCTCTGCTGGTTTGGTGGCAACCCAACTGTCCTGCTTTGACGCCTCAGGTCCCGCTGAGGGCAGCCACCATACCAGTCACGTTAACAGCTCTGGGCTTTCAAGAGGCGGGCACTTGGTCAAAGGGCACCCGTTTGGGGACAGCCAGAGGGCTTACAGTCAGGTGCACGTTGAGGGAGAGCCAGACTGTGGCCTGGAAGCTCCACCGCTCCTCTCTGTCGTGGTAGAGTTGGAGGGACAGTCCCATAAGAAGGCAGGAGTGGCGTGTTGGGAGCATCGAGTTTTCTCCTACCCTGTTTTCTTGGGGACGGCAGACGCGCAGGTGTGGACAGGCTGATGGGGTGCGCGTGTTAACAACGTTTTGGAAGGCAAGGTAGCCACAACTGAACGGCTGGAGCCCATCTCAAGGCAATCTCTCTTGTGCGCGGGGACCCTCTGTGTTGCTTCTTCGGCTGAGCGCCCACTAGGAGACATCTCACAGGGTAGGGAAAGCGCTGTTTCTCAGGGTCCCACCCCACCCCTGGTTTCCTAGCTAGGCTGTTGTGGGAGGGAATGAGCAGCACCCCCACCCCTGCATTATTTCAAAGGAATGGGAGAGTGGCTCTGCCAGACCCACTCAGCTGAATGAAGAGCACTCTGCGCTGGCACCTTCAAAGCAGCTGGCAGGTTTAGCTGCTCAGGAGGAATGAATCCACACTGAGTGGGTGGGATCAGCGGTGCCAGAGAAGGAACCACTTGGCTGGTGAGCCACTGGGGTCTCTGGCCCAGGAGCCAGCCCTGTTACTTGATGTCAGAAAAGCTGGTCTCATGCTCACCACCCGTTCATCCCTGCATCCCGCAAACTCTGAGACCGGGACTCCTCAAAATGGTTAGGGGATAGCTGAGCCCAAAGACCCCCACATGAATTTCAGAGGGTAGCAAAAACAGCAAGAGCTTCATGCTTCATGCTATTAGAAACACGCATGGAAGCATGATGCCTGAGGAAGCAATCTGCAGATGCAAGAGGCCTGCGCCTAGGGAGTAGACACTCCCTAGAGTTTTAAAAATCAAGCAAAAGCAGAGGTTAATGCTGGCCACCTCCTAGGGAAAAAGCTGGGATGTCCTAGGATTTGGAAAGGAATGAGATTACCAAAAGGATAGCACAGAAAAGTAGTTTTTACAAATCTTGGCTTGTTGCAATGGGCAAGGGGAAGGAGTTCTCCTCAGACCCTTGGTGGCGGCGGTGGCAGCCTCCTTTCCCTGGGCTTGGCCCAAATGCTCCAGACCACAGGGGTCCAGAGCCCATAGTCCTGGGCTGCTCTGCTCTCCCAGGGAAGCTCAGCACTGCAGGCTGCCCGGCCAGGAGGCCATTTCCCTTTGCTCCCCAGGAGTCCCTCCCTGGATCTCCTTATTTCACAGCCAGGTTACTGAGCCAGCAGGCAGTGGGGCAAGGGGGAGGCTGCCAAGGGAATGCCACAAATCCTGCATGGGCTTCATGACCCAGGGTGGTGGAGCTTATCAACAGGTGGGGCGTCCTTCCACATAAGCCAGTTGTAGGCCCTGAAGAATGGCTGAAGGGCAGGGGAAGCCATTGCTGGCCAGATTCACTTATGTGGATTCCCATTCACATAATACGCTAAGCCAGAACATCTTCTGGGATTGGCAAGCCATGGTTTGTGGCTTAATGGGTGTTATGAGGATCATCGATATGCACCTCATTGAGCTACTCACGTGAACGCAGACAGCAGTGAGGCGGCTGGACCAGAGGACCACAGGCCCCACTCTTCTGGGGCCTCTCTGCTCCCCAGCCTTTATCTTTCCCTGCAAGAACCCACATGCGTGGGCTGGCTGGCCTCTGCCCAGGGACACCCCCCCAGCTGCACAGATATTCCAGGGTCCAGGGAGGGGGGTGCATGGCAGCTACAGGAAACCACCACCCCGAAATGCGCTTGTGCTGACATATCAATGTGTATTCAATTGGTATCAATAAAAACAGCATAGAAAAGGGGTGTTTTTGTGACTCTGCGTGTGCAGTTTCCCGTTTAGGCCAACAACCTGAAAGGAAATCTTTATGATTAGAACTTTGCTGACAACACTGTGGACGGGAGCGCAGTCTGTAGATCCTGTTCAGTGGCGTAGCAATGGTGGATGTTAAAAGCTCCTCCCACAGCTGTGTGTTCACTCTGTGCTCCCTAATGTAGCCCCCTTTAAACTCCTTTCCCCATTAACAGAGGTCTCATTTGCAATCCATGGAAAGGACAGGTGCCTGTCTGAAGTAGGGACGCCCCCCCCCCGCCTCCCACTGAGGGAGTGGCTTTCGTTTAGGCAATCTGGTTCCCGGGGCCCTTGGCAAGGCCAGCAAAGGAGGGCTGAAGAAGGCTGCGCTGCCATGGGCCGCTGCCCCCTTTGCAGCCTGAACAATGTGGAGGCGGGAGGGAATTCCTTCTGGGCTCCCAGGCTGTGGAGAGAGCCAGCACAAGGCAGCCATGTGCTGCATGCCCCGCCCAGGCCATGTGCTGGCGTGCCAGTGAGCCCAGAACTGGGAGTTCTGCCAAGGCCTCGATCAAAGGGAGCGGCCACCGAGCAGCTGGAAACGGGAGTCTGCCAGCAAGCGGCTCGGTCTCGACCGCCAGGAGCCCTCGCCTAGGGGCAAGCTGTGAAAGAGAGCCTGGTTTGATGTAGGGTGGCGCAGATGCCACCACTGCTTCCCCATGTTAGCACCAGGGAGAGCCCCTTCCCCTTCCCACATCTCTGGAAGCTGCTTCCTCCTCCTCCTCCTGCCGCCACCGCCTGGATCCTGAGGAGTGCTCCCCTGCACAGCCAAAGGACACGGATCACAATGAGATGCCAGTTTCTGGGGATCTGCCCAGCAGAGAACTCGTCTCCCAAGCACAGGCCTTGGTCTGTTCACCTGCCACCACTTGCCCCATCAGCGCCTGCAGGAAAGATCCCCTTTGGGGGTCTCCCTGCTTATCTGGGAAAGACACTGTCCCACCCCGAGCAGGAAGTCCAAGCGCCCTGGCCGGGCAAGGCCTCTCCAGCAGTGCCCAGGAAGAGAACAAACTCTTGCCTGCTGCCATGAGGCCTCCTGGGGCCTCCCTGCTGCAGGGCCCTGGTGTCAGGGGATCATCCCAGGCCGGGGCTGCAGGGGAGGTGGGCTCCCCTCCCGCCCGGTTCTAGCTGCTGGGGCCAGGAGGAGAGTCTGTGGACCCACCGCGGAGTAGGCCAGGCACAGCCCCTCTTGCCCCCTGCCCGCCGTC